AATTATTACAATGGCGATAAATAAAGAAGCTATTTAAAAAGATATATACATTTATGTCTCACTGCATAATTAAATGTCTACCTACATTTATTTGTTTATTGTATTTTTGGTCGCAATTAATTGTATGCTTATTTATTGAGCATTTATTTAGTTCTATATTTATTTTTAAATATGGTAGAGCTGGTTTGCAGACCATCATGTTGTTTTAGAAAAATAGTCACACGGGTGTCTGTCTCCCTCTTCTGGTCATTTATTGTCATTACAGGCTGAAACTCTCTAAAGACCACACCCTCAAAAGGGCATGTTCTCCTTGTACATTCACTGGTTTTCCCTGGGGACTTTCACGCATCAACATCAACAACTCAGTTTTACTGAAGAACATACTAGGAAGTTATGGATACACAAGATCAATCTAACATAGACGGATGGTCCATAAAGCATAGGCATTGTTTATAAAGACAACCTGAAGCCTAGCTCCTTCCAGGCATGGACGTAATTTCTGGGGGAGAAGGGGGGACATGTCCCCTGAACTTTTTTAACGTCTATTATTGTCCCCTGCACGTTTTACTATCCAAAAACAATGTTATGCTGATAATTGTTGAGCACTAAGAACAAGTGGGAAACCACAGCTCCTGACTGGCCCTCTGTCTTCTCTTGTGTGATTAGTTGTCACTGCTGTCATTCATGAGCTCACTTTACAAACAAGGCCAAATACGCTGAAGTTAGTTATATTAAAAAATAGTTGTTTCCCTGCCATTTCTGAAATAAAAATTTCATCCATACTTCCAGGAATGTTATAGTGGATAGTCTGACTGTTCGAGATATTAAATTCTGTTGAAGTTTTGTCTGCTAATTATTAAGTGTCACTTGGAGGTTGTGCATTTACTGCAGCCTGTCTGTAAATTGACCTCACAGTTCAACTCAAAATGACCTCAAATATAACAGCTCAAAACCTGGGATTCGGTTTTATTTCCTGGTATATTTATGTTTAGAGCAAAATATGGAAGGCCTAAAAAAAAAAGCTGTCATATGCGGATACAGTATATCTTGTATAACTTGCTCTGATTCACGTATAACGTCGCTTTTGTTCAAATTAATTCACTGTAGTAGCTGAAAGTTAAACTGTTATTTTGCTCTGAACTCCTACTGTGAATTACCTTTCAAAATAAAACACACCCTGTTCAAGGAAACGGAAACACGGATCTACTTCTTACCAGTCAGCCGGAGGGAGGGGTGTGCATTTCATCGTTGGAGGAGAGCACAAGAAATGATGAACAATAAAATGTGTCTACCTGAGATAAACTGCTCGTTGATAAACAACTAATGTTTATTCTACTTTATTGTTTAATGTTGCTCCCTAAAATACAATTGGCACACAGAGTAAAATATGTCGAATTTAACAGAGCCACTATGATATTATCATTAGTTTTTTCGAAATAAAATTTCTTGTGCTTGTTTTAGCCACATTGTTTCCAAACTCCTTCCCCGGCGCACCAGTAGTTCTGCCGTCGTGTAAATGGAGCAGAGCCACTCAGATAGAACGGCCAGGCCTATCGGTTACGCCATACACACCCTGCTGTTCAGGTAACGAGCTTTGATTGGCTGATAAAATTATGCTGTCCTGTGATTGGTCAGTGCGCTACCCGCCTCTGGAAGCCCCTATCTTTCTGGAGGGGGCTTTAGAGATTAAGTGGATAAATACTTTATAGTTCTGGGGAGTTATTATTCTCACTGTTGGGTTAAAGTGATCAATAATTCAATCATATTTCCTACAGTTTCATATGTCTGTGTGGGTGCGCTGATAATGAGGTGAATTTAGCGAACTGTCAGTAGCGTCTCCCCCCTGCAGCAGGTGACGGAGTCCGGCTAGCCTCCTGTCACCTCGCTGTTACCTTCGGATCGGTGATTGATCAGTTATTGGGGCTTCCATAGGATCGTCGAACCATTCCCTTCCTTCTCTCAGTGTCTCTTCGGTTCCAGGCAGGAAGATGCTCCGTGCCCGGGTGCTCCTGGGTCCGTCCTGGAGGGGGTAAGTCCCGCCGCTGAACTTCACATGAGCGGACACGGGACTCCGCAGAAACTTCCAGAAGGTGTTCAGATCATTGCCTGATCAATAACTTGTCAGCTGCTTAAATTTGTCGGGGTAACGAGCTGTTGATCCGGTGGTGGTGAGCTTCAGGTGTGGCAGCGGGTTATGTAACAACACCTGATCACCTGCACCTTCAGGCTGGGTCTGGTCCTGCAGAATCACTGAACTTCAGGGTGTGAAAATACCTCAACATTTCATCTTGGCCTCATAATATATTATACAGACTATTGATTCTGCTCTGCAGCAGATCTGCTGCTCTCTGTACCAAACACGTGTGCATGAAAATAACCTGAAATGCAAAACACATGTAAAAAAAAAAAAAAAAAAAAACTGTTTTATCACCTTCCCACAGCACAGGTGGTTCTAGACAGGGGCCAACAGAGGACCTGGACCCTGTTATGGCCCCTGAAATAAGTGTCGATTTTTTTTTTAGAAAAGTTATATTTTACCCTGTTTTGAGTAAGAAGTAAGTAGGTAAGATTATTTACTAATTAAATAAGATTATGTACGGAAGAGGATTAGGGCCACTGAAAAAAAAAGTTAACTGATTTTTAAATTGTATCTCAGTTTAATATGGGAGAAAAGTCAGAATTCCGAGATTGAAATCAGAAATGAGGATATTAAAGTCAGAAATTCTGGGATAAATGTCAGAATTGTAAGATAAAAGTCAGAATTCCGAGAATAAAGTCAGAAATTCCGAGATAAAAGTCAGAATTCTTACTTTTTTCCCATATTAAACTGAAATAAAATGTGAAAATCAGTTAACTATTTTTTTTTTTTTCAGTGGCCCTAATCCTCTTCCGTAATTATGTGCATTAAAAATAAGAAAAAGAAACATTCCCATTATCTTATCTAATGTGGATGATATGTAATTTGCTTATTCTAAAGGGCAAACATACAGATAATCTTGGTTACCCTTTCAATTTAAGAGCAAATATGCTTATTTTAAGAAATCTTTACTTAAGATCGGTTTTTGCTCTTTAATAATAACATCAGTTGTTTTCATGATATACGCTGACAAAATGTTATTTTGAGAATATTAGACTTTATACAACTTTTATTGTCATTTTTTATACACAGAATGTATACAAAAACAGCTTTCCAGTAAATGAACATTCCCGTTCCATAAAGTGCAGCAATGATCAAATGTAAACAGTGAAGGAGGGAAAAAACAACATGTTAAAAAAAACAGATTTGGTTCAGAGCATTAATATATATGGTGCAAAGACCCTTACAAAGGTTCTGCTGATTATTGCATTTATTTTGAGGAGAATCCTCTCAAAAGAAGATTAATAATTTATAAAAATCTGCTTTTGTTAAGTATGACATTCACAAAACAGGATAAATATATTTTTGTGGTTAGATGTTGTTAGATGCTGAATGTTTGCACTGGTAATTGATTCATATCTTGGACCAGTTAACTTAATAATCTTTACCATTTATTTTTTAACAATTATTTTGTAAATTTCTTTAAGCTTCATCATTATAAGATGCAACCACAGTTTTCATCTGTTAGATCAGAAGTCTGCAGCTATGGCTCTGTGGCTCGCTTCATGTACTTTAATACTTTTTTAAATTTATTGCGTTTATTACTTCTGCCAAGAAGGTCATTTTTTTGGGAGAGTTTGTGTCTGTCTGTGTTCAGAATAACTCGAATGGACGGATTTTATTACAATTCTTATCAGAGGTGTCCCTCATGCCAAGAAACATCCATTTAAATTTGATAACGATCTAGATCATGCAGGATTTTTAGCTATAGCTCTATGCTGTGTTTTTCTATTTGCAGGAATTAAAGGAGCAGTTTGTATTCAATACTGCCATCTAGTGGCCACAGTGGAACAAACAACCTTATTAAATTTCTTCTCCCAACAAATTTACAAATAACAAGAGCGTTTAGTAGAAATGGATAAAGGCGATTTAAAAAGAGCAATAATCAATCATTCCGGTTCCACCTAAAGAATTTAAAAACAGACAATAAAAGCCTCTGCTGTTCAGGTCTACATATGATTTCCTTAC